TTGTATTGTGCTGTAAACTATAAGGAATATTCTTGTAGGATTTATAAAAACACTTGATTTCAGAAATCTTAACTCCAGTATAAAATCACAGCTGCCAGATATTAAGACCCAGTAATATATAGAAAAACTCTAAACCTTTCTCCTAGAGCAGATGAAAAAAAATCTGAATATGTGTTGCAACAATGTTTCAAGGACTAAAATAGAATACATAAAATGAAAATTTAAAATTTATTAGCTGTTATCACAAAATTTAAAAAATTATGCCTATACAATCTAGGAGTGAAAAAAATAGACAAGAAAATTGTTGCATTTCACCTTCAGCATACCTTTTAAATATAAACATGTTTGTATGCAAAAACCTTTTTTCCAGAAACTAGATTTTATTAGGATTTTTTAAATATTAATTGTGACCAGCTATACAAATTTGTCAGAGAGTTATTCTGTATCACAGAGGGATACTTCTGTATTGTTAATTTCTTATACATTAGAAACTGGTCTCTGGCATTTTCCAAAACTGGATTTTCTGTGCAGCTGGTCATTAAAGGGCATGCTGAAGATGTAAGAGTGACAACCACACTGAATTTAACATGAAATAATTAGCATGCATTTGACTTTCAAATATGCTATAATATCTAGAGAGTGTTCTGATAGGTTTGCAATATGTAAACACATTTTCCCTTGGGAGAAAGTAATTAGAATTAACATACACTGAGCTGACCTGCCCACTTACAATTAGGGTAAGCAACTAAATTATTATTTGTTTTCACACACCAAATCTGTCACTTGTAATTGTATGTATTCATCTCCAGTGCCATTTCTGGGCACTGAATTTTGTATTTGCTCTTTTTCAATCTATCTAAGAACAAACAAAAATTGTAATATGTGTACACTAGACTAAGGAAGATAAATACAACTCCACATCTCCAAAAAAACAGACCAAAGTAACTACAACAGCACATAGCTACATGGTTATATATGAAATTATAAAAAGACTTTAAAAATACAAACTCTAAAGATTATACAGAATCACCAAAGTTTGCCCTCCAGCAGTCCAGGGTAATAGTTCTTACTATTATCCTCTCCTTACTTTACTAGGAATCAAAAACTCTCATCATTTGTGATCCCTGTGCCCAAGATGGCCTTCAACCATCAAATCACCCACCAGTCCTCCTCTGTTCATAGACAGCAGGTCCAGCAGGGCACCTCCCCAGGCTGGCTCACTCACCAGCTGTGTCAGAAAGTTATTTTCCACACACTTCAGGAACCACTTACACAGTTCCCTGCCCACCGTACTGTATTTCCAGGATCTGGTAAGCTGAAGTCCCCTACATTAACAAGGGCCAGCAGTTGTGAGACTTCTCCCAGCTGCTTATAGAATATTTTGTCTGCATCTTCATCTTGGCTGGGTGGTCTACATATTCCCACCACAATATCTTCCTTGTTGGTCTATCCCCTGATTCTAACCCATAAACACTCAAACCTATCACCACCATCATTAAGCTCTGGATAATCAAAACACTCCCTAACATACAAGGCTACCCCACCACATCTCCTTCCTTGCCTATTCCTTCTGAAGATTTTGATGTTTATACATAGAAGTCATAAAGCTGACAGTATGATTGAGAATCAGTTAGAAGAGAAAACATCAGGAAGTCCATCACCTGAACTCCAAAGAACTTACAGAGGTGATATAGGCAATAGGTATAATAAACTTATATAGATAAAACATTTATGATGGAGTTATTAATATATATTCATATACATTGCATATAAAAGGGCTTTACAGGAAAATACCAGTGCTGTTGAAGATTGGAGCTTCATCATATATTTATTATAAAGATAATTGACCAATTAAAAATGCATGATATCTGATGATTTTTAGTTTGATGATAAAATGTGTATTTAGAACCAGTTAAGCTGAATGCTTGAATTCCTTAAATTTAGGATTGTTTGCATTCTGGTATACTTTTGCAGACGGATTACTTGTGTACATGACTGAGCTTGCTATTTACTGTATAATCTAAAGAAAAGGAGACTGTATGACAAATTGAATATTCAGTGATTAAGGGGCTGAAAGAACTGGAATGATAAGAATGCTGTTGAGCAACTGTGTCTTCCCAAAACCTTGTGGCCCTTCATTTATGAGTGCCAGATGTCTGCATGCTGTTGAGACATGGTTGACTCTTCATGGTCATTCACCAACAAATGGCCAAAGTCAGTAGACTAGTCATAACAGCAATGGTCTACTGGTGCCCTGGAGTTGACAGCTGTGAACTATATAACATCAGAACCAGTATGTCAAAGCAAATACTGGTTTTGTTGCTCTTACTAATATATGGGACAGATCAGTTCAGTGAATATTAATCTAATTACTCCTATCCCCAGGAGCAAGGTTTATGGTCATATTCTTTGCATGTGAATTCACTAAAGGGCACAATTAAGATTGCTCAAATGCCCTAATTGCTTCTCAATACCTTAATGTGCTTGGATATTCTCTAATTTAACAATAACTCTGAAGAGTCTGGGTTATAATTCTCACTATAATTGCATCATTCCTGTAACAAAGTTTATTGTAAATTACGAATATGTGCTATTAACCTTGACTTCAATTTAACATCACTGTTGTCTGGAAACGACATTAAGATTTGGGGCCAAGTGCTCAGCTGATGTAAAGCCACTTACCTCCAGCCGAGTCAGCAAAGCTGTTCTGACTTAGATTATACATTATTTTTCCAGCTCTAAACACTGGGCTCAAACAGTGACACTAAGCTATACAATAACAGTGTTCAAATTACACATATTAATAAAGTTAAAAGAGTTACTGGTTTTCCACCATCAATTTCCCATCTTCAACTCACCTGTTCTGGGGCAACCATTTTATTGTCATGGCATTGAAATCCATGAAACATTCATAGATACCCAAAATACTGTCAATACAGACACATTATATACTTGTAAATAATGGTAGAATATACCTACATATAGTTAATGTACTCAAGACTCTTTTAAAAAATCACCAAATGCTTGGTCACTAAGCAAATAACCCGTCAACAATTTTCAAATGTGTATGTTTGTGTGCTTGTAGCAAACAAAGTACTTCACAGTTAAATGTAGCTGAGAAGGCATCTTTATAACTATCACTATTGCCAAGAGGAAATAAAGATGTTTTAGTTTATTTACAAATACTGATGAGAATGTTGATTGTTGGGAAACTTACTCACTTAAAGAAATTTGATACAAAACCCCTTTTATTTTGGTATGATGGGTAGAGATGGCCTCATCAAATAATCATAATGATAGAAATAATAGAAAAATTGCCATATAAGATCAAGATTTTAGTTAAACATTTTTTCTTGCTAGCAGCAAGAAACAGCTGCTACATGCAGTCATTAAGTCTAGAAAATTTAGCCTCTGATTCTTTGGTATATGCTTTCATCAAGCAATGACACTGTGAATGTATTCACAGTAACTAATGGTACATAGTTTAGAAATAGTAATTCAGGGACTTCTATGTCTTAGAATATGTTTTTACTTTGATTTCATATTTTTTAAAATGCTGCAACTTGTATCAAATGAGATCAAGAAAAATACTTTCACATATTTTTTCAAGAAGTTAAATTGATGAAATATTTTTTCTCCAAATCTATTGATGTATATTTCCAAATATACAACTGTATACTTTTGTGACTATCCCATTAGAAGCCCTGTGGTGACACTTATGGTAAAGCAGCTAGTTTAGCAAAAATGGACAATGACTTAGGATGTTTTTGTACATCCAATGTTTAGGTGGTCCAATGTGACGGCTATTAAAAATTATTTTTTTTTTCAAAAAACCCCATTTGTTTCACAGAATCACAGAATGGGTAGGGTTGGAAGGGATCACAGTGGGTCACCTGGTCCAACCTCCCTGCTCAGGAAGGGTCATCAGAGAGCACATGGCACAGGATCTCTGGCACAATCTCTATGGGCAACCTTTTCCAGTGTTCGGTCACCTTCACTGTGAAGAAGTTCTTCCTCATATTCAGGTGGAAATTCCTGTGCATCAGTTTCTGCCTACTGCCTTTTGTCCAAAGGCAAAACAGGCCCAGTTCCCTCAGCCTTTCCTCATAAAAGATACTCCTGTCCCCTAATCATCTTTGTAGCTCTCTGCTGGACCTGTTCCAGGAGCTCTACCTCTCTCTTGGGTTGAGGAGCCCAGAATTGGACACAGCACTCCAGATGTGGCCTCACTAGGTCTGATGAGAGTGGAAGGATCACCTCCATCTACCTGCTGGCAATGCTCTTTCTAACACAGCCCAGGATCCCGTTGGCTTTCCTGGTCAGTAGGAAACACTTCTGGCTCATGGACAGCTTGTTGTCTACCAGGACTCTCAGGTCCTTCTCCACAGAGCTGCTTTCCAGCAAGTCAGCTGCCAGCTTGTGTTGGTGCTGGGTGTTATTCTTCCCCAGGTAAAGAACCCTTCACCCTAACTTCTGTGAATCAAATCTCTTCAACATTAATCTGCCATAAAAGTGGAGGCATATAAAGTGCCAGTATCTTTAAAAATTTGCCATATGAATGCCTTTTAATGGTTGCATCAACTCAGTGATGAAAAACAGTTTCCCATTCCAGAAAAGTCATGGATTATGACTCTGCATTGTGTTTTCACATAATTAAGTCACACTGCAAAAGATTTTTCATATTTCAAGTACATGAAATTCTTAATAATGAAAGTCCTAAAAAAAGTCGACAATTTTTAGAAAAAAATTCCAGAAGTATGTAAACAGAAACAATTTTAAAATTTTATAGAGGAATTAATTATATAACTGATAGGAAAAAACCCCAAACAGTCACTTTCAATAAAAAAATTACCTTCAGTCATCTTTTAAAGGAAAAAATTATAATGATAATATATAATGACATATTCCTTGTGCCCACAAGCTCAAATTTTTTTCCAATTTTTAGAAGTATCATCATTGTGAAACGGCAACATTGATTTATAACATAGTTAGAAACCTACCTTCCAATAAACTGCATGGCTTCCTTTGTCAGCCTCTGAGTAAGGTTCTCATAGGACAGTGGTTGCTGGATAATCTGATGATTCCTCATTAAGAAGCAGTTTAAGTGTCGAAAATTATAGAAGAAAAATATCAAAACCACAAGTGAAATTGTGATTATTAACAAGCAGTAACCGAATGCTTGGAAAGGTACATTAAGGATGTACTGCACTATTGCCAAAGAGACAAGGGTGATGCCAGCAATTTGGATTGGGATGACAAGGGCTTTCTGAACCCCTTTTAAAAATACGCTGCCTTGGCCAGGTTTGCAGTCTCTAAAATTGGTCACGGTGAGCCCATAAAAGTAATCAAATCCATGACTGAGGGGGTGGTGACAGAAGTCATTACTGCTTTCACAGTTCATCCCAAGATGCCACTTTCCTACAAAGAGAGAAGGACAGGGAGTATTTTTGTAGTTAAATCATCAAACTTAGTTTTAACGTGCACTATTCCAAACATGAAACTGTCACTGTCTGACTGATATCCCCCTGCACTCAGCATCTATTGTGTGGATCCCTATTTTCTATTTAAACCTTCTTTATGCCTTCATCTAAGATTTTGTTTCATGTCTGCCTATTCATCTTAGAAATAGGCTTAGAAGAGCTGCTGCTGAAGAACATTAAATTTTGAGTGGGCTAGCAGGTCACTGAAGAGCAACAGAGCCCTAGCAGACAGTTAACTTGGGAAATGAAGCCTTTGTGTATGTGCAGTTGTCATAAAAAAATACTGTTTTGTATTTGCTACTGATTGAACAGGAAGAGCCAGTACAGAGTTAAAAAATAACTTCTCTGAAATTTTTCTAGCAAATAATTTGAATAGTTAAAAAAAAAAAAAAAAAGAAAAGAGAAAAGAAGAAAACAGTAACAAATAGGAAATAAATCAAGAATAGGAATATTACCAAAGCATTTATTATTTAAATGATTGCAGAAATGTCTGAAATTGTCAATTGCCCTCACAATATAACAGATATATATGGTGAGGGTGATTATTTTGCATCTTTTTATTTTATATATAGAAATAAAAAGCCAAGCAACAGTTAGAAGTAAATTGCTGCCAAATACTAGCTCTCACAGCATTTTGTCTCACTAGGAAATCACTCTAATTCTGCAAAATGTTGGACACTGACTGACACAAGAAACCAGTGAGCCTGATTTGCATTATAGTAGTACAATCTATGTTCATGCTGATTACAGTAAGTATCTAGATAATGCATTCTATGACCCAGGTATAACCTCTTACCATATGCTTATGCATTGCTTAGCACAACAGACCTAACTGTTTGGAAGCTGTTATTTGGATTCAAATGCATAATTATAAAAAAGCCCACCAATTCAGTTAAGCCTGTTGAAATAGATTGGGTATAGAGTTATGCTCTTTACTCTCAGCTAGAAAATGTACTGAATATTTAAAAAAATATACAGGCCTTGACAAAACAAATGACATTATATATTTCTGGGCCAAACTGTTTATTTTTCTGAATCAAATATGTGAACATAACCAGCATAATTCTGGGGTTGTGTCTTAAAAGAAATAAACAAGAAAACCTGAAAACCCAGTAAGTCCTCATTCCCACAACTTAGCCCAAAGAAATTTGAAATATTTGTTCTACAGGCTTCAGGATACACATGGCAGAAAGTACATAAAAGGAAAAAAGCATACACAGAATTTTCCTCTTTTCCAAACCATCCCACGTGACTTTACCCATCTGTAAGAAAGAGTGCTGATGCAGACAGTCCTGAAAGTCTTCTCCTGGGTCTAGAGAACTGCATATTCATTCTGCAATTCTTCCTTTGGCAATGACAAATGCAGGTACTGCAGTACCAAACAGGGTGAAGACGGGGATCAGTTCTGCTTTATTTTAAATAGTACCTAGCAAATGGGCTGGATGTTGCTATTTCTCTTCCACAATTAACAGAATGGAGGTATAGGATGGGAATGTCATGCGCTTAAGTTCACTTGTTTGTAAAGGTGTAGAAAAGTAACACAGAAATCTTGAGTTTGAATGTTTAGTTTTGTCTAGTTCTCCTCATATATCTCTTGATAGTCTTAAGTTAGAAATACCTTCTGTATATCATCAAAGCAGGTATAAAACATTTTCAGGCCTGCTTATGTGTCAGCAAAACTAAGGCCTCTACAGCTCTTTCATACCATCAGAATTTTTCCCTGTCAGAGGTGGTATTCTGCTTTCTGAAGGCAGAATGGCTCGTCACTACTCTTGACATGGTTCAGTAAAGATTACCGTGGTCAGTTAAAAAAAAGAGCAGTGCACACCACTGTACTGACATTTCAGATGTTATAATGATGCTATAAAGGGCTAGGTAAAGCTAGAACTCTGATTTTCATTCCCAGCGCACAAAGACACACATTTTTGAAAAGAAATGCTTCAGTGTTTTCTCTTAGTTTTACATGACTGTCTTCATGGAGTAATCATAAAGCCAGATGTGTAACAAGGTGAGCATGAAACAATTCTCATCAAATTAGATAACTGAATTAATGGTAGAGGTTAATAATCATGAATATAGATGACCTTCAAGCTTTAATTTTTAATTTTTTGCTGTTATATGTCAATCTCAAAGCACCTATAATTTATGAAAAGGAAACTCAAACAAATTAAATATGCCTTCAAGGCCATTTATTATGATATAGAGGTTTCCTTAAACCGGATCTCAATAAAACTAGACACTGCGAGCCAGGATAGAAGAATCTTGCAATAACAAATTAGGACAAGGGAAAATATAGGTCCCATTTTTATCAAAAAGGTTTTAGCCAGCACAACAAATTGTTCAATGTCAAGATGAACTTAGGCCTCAAAAAGAGATTTGTTCAGAAGCAACTGAAGCCAAACAAAGCAGAGAGCAGGTTAGTGGGAAAAGCAACAGAAGCTCTGGTTCAAATTATATTGGCAGCTGTGACGGAACAACACAATTGCCATTCTCTAAGGGCTGATGAGGTAGAAGGTTTTGATAGATCCTGCACTACTCTGAAAAAGCAAATGATGACTGAGTCATGTTTTGTTTCATTCCTTGTGACAATAAGCCCTGCCTTGAGCTAGTGCTTCAACATATTACTGTAATGTGCTTTACAGTCTGAGGCCCTTCTCAATCTGAGAGCAGTGCAAAATGCTCTCATCTCTTTGCCAAGTGATGCTTCACAGGATGGACACTTCACACAAGCATCATAAGCATTTCAGTAGATTCTACCAAGCTTTTGAGTGAAATTTATGATGTTAATTGTAAATTATGAGTACCTTAAGAATTTGAGACCTAGGCATTTTTCCCTCTCTGTTAGCCACAATCACGATTTCTGCAGAGCGAAAGCAATGCAACGAAAGGCAAGTAGAAATGAGAGACAAGTATTATTCAGCCAAGAAACTTCACTCAGAACTCAGTTCTTCAGAACCCAGAATCCTGGGGATGCTACAAAAATCCATGTTTCTCTTTTTTTCCCTCAGTTGAAAAGGGAGCAATTTGAAGTCTGAATTGTATATAATGATATATTTCTTTTGGAATGATTTTATTTTTCAGATAAATGGCAAGAGGCAAGATGTGGAGCAAGATGCGAACAGAAATATTTTATGTGCTCAAAGAAATATATTTATATGAAGTACATATCAATAATAATGAAAAGTGTATGTGCATATGTTATTAACATGGTCAGATATTAAGCTGTTCTATGAATAACTACTTTACTAATCCCAGTCTACAGACTCAATCAATCTTGGATTGGACACCTTACTACAGTGATGTGTCCAAATATTACCACCTTGTTCTGGAAGAAAGAAACAAGTACCAGTTATCAATTAGTATTTCAACTTTGGACATAAGCTACACAGGTGGATTTTAAACTTCTCTGGATATCAAACAGTACACTGGATAAAAATAGTGAGGAAAAATTAACCTTTTACTCAACTGTAATTGATCATAGCAGTAGTTAAAATAATACTTACCTAAGTGGAATTTTTGCATTATGAATAGCTATTTCCTGTAAAACATCAGCATTTCTTTCTACTGTTGAAATATCACATATTCTATGCATCTGCTTTTTCTTATAAAACTTGGGGTTTTTTGCAGATCTGATTGTGTGTCTTCCTGACAGATGCACTGGATGTCATCTTCTTCGTGTCACAGGGGAAAACAATGAGGTAGAAAAGTGTATACATAGAGTAGATTTATAGCCAAAATATATTTTGGGATGTATTGAGCAAAAGGAAGCATATATTCAGAGGAGAAAAAAGCACAAAAAGAAGTAAAAATGCATTTAGAGAAGAGAAAAATGTCCTTAGAGAATAAAGGGGAGAGAAACTTGGGTGGGAAAAAAAAAAAAAAAAGGTGACACTATACATCTGAAGAACTGAAAGGTTTAAAATTACCCTTATGCCAATCCACCACTGGTGCAGGATTTGACAATAATTTGTTTTAATTTGTTTGGGAACTGCTGAGTTAGATTGAACTCAACAAAGACTCCCTGACCCAGACCAACACGATGTGATAAGAATATCAGCAGAGGAAGAAAATGGCCTGACTGGGGATCCGACTCTGCCAACCTACTCTTCAGATCTCCGTAATTTTTCTTTTTGTCATTTACATATGCTTTATTACTAATTTTATTGCACTTCTTGAGTTTTGGAAACCTTCATTATACTCTAAGGATATGGTAATATTATATTTTATGGTCTTATAGCTATCATTCAGGCCACTTGGAAGAACTGTTCATTAAGTATCATGGAGATAACTTCTGGAGATCTAAGTGGCAAGCTGTCATGTTGCAGTGAAAGTAGTTAAAAAAAGAACGTTAACTAGGTCAGCCCCAGAAAATGAGTTATATTACAGTGCTTGTTACAAACAGAGAAAAATCCCAGTCTCTAATTGAATATGGAGCAATAGGAATTAACTCCATGAGGAACATGCCAAATTATGAATGGCTTTTTTGCACTATGATTCAAATACACCTGCACTAAATATACTTCTGGTAAGATTTTCTGGTTTTCTTATTTGTTTCTGTCAGAACATCATGGTATTTTATTCTTTATAAGACTGGGATATAGCTAAGCAGAATTTTTAGTTAGGAATACTGACTAAAGTTAGGTTTATCTGCATAATACAGGTATTTTTTGAACAGTGGTATGAATTGTTAGCCTTGCTAAACAGCCTAGTTTTTTAAATAAAAATCACTCCCCAAATTGCAAGTCTCTGTTTAAAAATCAATTAAAAATATCAAATTGGGTGCATCCTTCATCTAAATTTATTTGGTAATTCCAGCATGATGTTCTCTGAACAACGATTGCCTGGCAATTCCAGTACAGAAATATGTAATGTAAGGTAATACAAGTTGTACTTCAAAAAAAATCTTCTAAAATATAAGCAGGCCAAATTTAAAAAAAAAAAAAAAAAAAAAGACTGATCTTTATACTTTTAGGATATTAATTCCAATTCTATTTAAAATTCATCTAGTGACATTGCTTTGCCCATCACTGGATATTTATGCTGCAGTTAATTGTCTAAACTATCTTTACAGTAAGAGAGAAATACATTTTTATACTACATTTCTACCACAGGATAGGAAAATTTTCCTAGAAATGCCCATTTCTGGTTGATGACTAAGAAAAGAATACAGATAGTTAGTCCAGATACAACACTATTTACTTTATGGATATTTAAAAACTGGTGAAATTAAATGTACCACTATTCTGACTTGTATCCTGTGATCAATCTCTTATTGTGATCAATCCCTCTGTTGTAATCAAACTCATATTTATACTGAAAACCTTTCAACAGCTTGACTAATTTTCAGTTTGTTCATCATGTTTCTCTAGTACCTTGCACAATGAGACTATAACTACACAAGTGAATTAGACATACTTACACAGTGTTTCACATAGGCACAGGAACATGCTCAGCTTTGTGCCAGAAAAATAAATTCTGGGGGTAGGGGAAAAGCTTAATGCAAACCCTTAATAGCCTATATGAGAAGCTAATGTTCTTTTGATTTAAATGAATGTAAAATAGTGTTGCACATGTGTTGTTGCACAATTTTACCTATTAGAGCGGTTGCGTAACCTTTCTGTTTCAGGAGCTTGGAAAAAGTTATTTCTTCAGAAGGAAGTCCCCCAGAAGAGGCAGAAAATAAGAAGACACCAACTCGTGAGAAGGCAGCCATTCCTAAATACAATGAAAATTAATGAGACCTGGATAATATGTAGAAACTATTTCCATTTATTCTTTCTACATGCACTTTTTTGCTTCAGGTGGTATCACTTAAATGACATATTACAACCAGACATTAAATGTTGCAAATGACTTATACAATCATCCATTTAGCTGCGTGAGGTCTTCTCTGTATTAACACCAGAAATTGAGAAGTTTAGGAAAAAAAGTCTCTGCTTATAACCATGGGGTCAGACATCAAATAAACAGCTGCATCTCCTTCTGTAGATGTTCTAAGGTGTAGCATAACTGAAAAAAAGTTGAGCTTGTATAATTTATTTTTCTTGTACATGGATAGGAATGGAACTGAGGACTAAGTGAGATCATTCCCAAGTTCTACTCTCCAAATTTCCACTTTCCTCATATGTGGTTTTCTATAAGCCTTTAAGGTTATTTAAGAGAAGGTACATTGAAATAGGGCAGTCTCACAACTGGGTATGTAAATATCATGAGGTCAAAAGAGCAAGAGAGAATCTGATTCTGGAAATAGAGTAGCCAGGGCTCTCAGCATTGATGGGAGAGGACCAGCACTCCAGTGGCACGAAGACACATGATTCAATGCATTCAGAGTGCACTAAAGGAGCATCAGGTATCGGCTAACAAGACAACATCTAAATAAGGCACAGTAATTTCTATATACTGAGAGTCTGAGGAACACAAATGAGCTTATAAGCTACTCTCAGGATGAGGAACTTGAGAGCTCAGGTTCATGAAAATTAGATTACTAGGATTCCAGATGAGAGCTGGCTCTGAAAATAGACAGACAGAACAGAGAATATCTATGCAAATCTGTGCAGATGTATCTTCAGGAAGTCTAAATTATGCAACTGGATGATTGCAGTGCCCAAATTACATGACTGATGTAGATAACCAGAATCTTCCCTTAGGTATCCCTTGTGGTTACATGAGAAAAAACTTGTTAGACTAGTTTATCAAAGACAGCTCAACTTACCCTTCAAATGTTGACTTCAGTTTTTCACCCTCGCTTTTTTTGTTGATTAACAGTTTAGTTTTAATCAGATATATATATATTCTTTATTTATATTTAATTTTATGTAATTCAAGCCCTTGTAACTGAAATCAGTGTAATTCCCTTAAGCTACACAAATGAAAGTCAGACTTATGTTTGGGGTTTTTTTCAACATTACCTTTCTCTGAGTTTGTGTCTCATAAAATACTGCATTTTGTAATCTTTTTCTTCAGCTCTATTAGCAGGTGTTTTAAATTCCTAACATTTTTTTCCATATCATGATTCTAGTGCCTTGTATAATAATCCTTTACTAGGTCTTCAGTGATATTTGGAAGCACTCCATATTTAGCCATTTTGTAGTTTAAGTAAGACAAAGTTCAATTTTTTCACCTACATGGAAATGATCAGTGAAGAAAAAAATCAGTTCAAATGCTAATTTTTCAGAAATAAGAACAAGAATTATAATGGAAAGTGACCTGTGGCTTTACCTACAGTAAATATTAATAGCAATATAGCTGTAACAGGTATATAAAATTTTCCTTTGCAGCTGAATGTAATGGAAAATTTAGCAAGTTATATTAGCTGGCACTTTTGCAAAAGCTTGTTACTTGATTTGAATGAGCACGAACGTATCAAGTAGGCTCCAGAGTCTTGCTTTGCTTTCATTCCCAGAAGCAAGGACAGGATGTTTTATCACTAATGAACAAGTGATCTGATTAATGTATAATGATCCTTGCTAAAAATGATGTTAAGGGAATGTTAAAGTTGCATGGCTAAGCACTGAGAGGCTCAGTCCCAGCACACTAAAATAAACAGACTAGATCTTCACTGACTCAAATGGGCTTTGGATCAGGTATTTGAAAAGTAAGAGAAACTAAATGCATGTATTCATAAAATACTTAACACTGTATAGGGGTAGATACAGAACAAAAATATGTAAAAAAGAAGGGAGATTTTTGCTTTCCTCTTCTCAATTTTCAGGGCAACTTGAATACCTTAATGAGCCGTCCTGCCCCCACCTTCCCCTCGCCAAAACCAAAACCAAAAAAAAAAACAAAAGACAAACCCGACAATTTGACTAAACCAAAAGGTTTTGTAGAAATAGAAATGTCTGAGCAGAAGCATTTACATGGGCTTCTTCCTGTGTGCCTTTCTAGATGCATCTCTGTGATGTCCAGCACTTGAGCTGCCCACCAGCATACTGGGAGCAGCCTGAATGCAACTAGGGAGGCAGGCTAAGAGAGAATTGAATAGTGGTCATTGAACAGTGGAGGAAGTGGAGGATTTTGCAGACAAATGGATTGCTCCTTACATTAAATAACCACAGTCAGATCTTTCTCTCAGTATTTAAATAAAAAAAAATTTTACTCACTAAAAAGACTTTATTTTTTGTGTCGACTCTTCTCAAATGCAAAAATTTGCCACACATATGAAATATTTCAAAAGTAAACCAACCCTTGATAAGCTGGATCAGTCACTGAAAAGACTGATCATTTATCCTTATCCTAACCTGGTAATGATAAACATATCAAGAAAGGCCAGACAAAAAATAACCTGCATACAGTTTACTGTAAATAAAATATGATATTTATATATAAATAAAGTAATGGGGTTTTACCTGATCTTATAGGATATCTCCCTGTCAGGAAAGCTGCCCTGCTTGGAGTACAAAGTGGGGCTGCTGCTATATGCTGAGTAAGTGTCACTCCTTCCTCTGCTAGCCTGTCAATATTAGGAGTTCTGGAGAAACACAAGCAGGAAAAAAGAAAGAATACACAAAAATTATTTTTTATAAACAGTCATGGTAAGATCAAGGCATCTGAAGCAAGAACTATTAAGGAAATCAAGTTAAGACTTACTGTATATAAATTATCAAAACCATGATGGAGTTGCAGTTCTAAATACTATTATTTTCACATTAGGTGTCAACACTGAACTGAGACACTGTGGCATTGTGCCAAAAATCTTTTTTCCCACTTTCACCTACTCTTCACGGCCAATACTAAACTGTTACACCAAGACATATTGCATTGCAACCCTTTTTAATGGATTCCTTGACCCAGAACTGTAATTTTGCAATCTTTCTGCTTCAGCAATGGGGAAAAACAGAGGCTCGAGAAAGGCCATGCTTCCTTACTCCCTACTTGGTGTCACATCTGTCTCTCCCCAGCAAAAGGTTTTTGGGGTAGGGATAATGTTGTATGGTGCTATCAGTTAACAGAGGAGATTAAAAAAATTATGACTCTGTGTTACACTCTATATTAATGTTATCTACATGTCTGACATGATTATGTCTGCAATATTAGACCCAGGGGCACAACCAAGTCTTCATATCTGCATGGGAAACCTGTCTGTGACCTGGCTCATCATGCAGATGAAAATTGGTTCTTGCAGGAAGAAATCCTGTGTCCTTGGTTCTAAAGATAAAAATTACTAATGCAGACTGGCCAGGAGCTGCAGCATGCTCTAATAGCTCTCTGACCCAGGAGATTAATGACCATGACCTGAAGGCATACCAGCACTCCCATCATCTAAGTCTGAATAGTCAGAAACATTAATTTTCCAACTGACTTATTTGCTATCAGTAACATCACCTACTGATAACAACCAGTATGATGAAATTTCTTCATATTCCAAAGATCTAATTCTGAATTCTCACAGCAGAGACCATAGATCTTGGAGTCATTCTGGTCCCTGTGATGGGAGTGATCCAAGCATCAGTGTTGTACATAATTTTTTCCTTTTAAAACTAGCATCTGTAACTTTTTTTTTTTTTTTTTTTTTTTTTAAATTTCAGTTATGAGGAGGTTTTACTTCTAACATCAGCTGGAACAAGAGCATTTAACATTTGACAAGACTGCTATTCCTCTGAATGTTTTTTTTAAGTTTGTCAAAGCCTTTGCACCACAGACACAATGACCAGGTACCACTTTCTCTGTTTATACTATTAGCACATCTAAGCTGGTAGTAAGGAATATTCTGGGGAACACTGCTGCATTATTCAGGCATACTAACATTTGTTTTAATGAATATATTAATTAGTGTATGAAGACAAATTAATGAAAAACATTTCCTATTGGTTAACAACAAGCTTGTCTCAAATCATGAGTGCTTCAAAATATGCTTAATTCATCATACTTGTGTCATGTATATTCTAAAAGAAAAGTGTTTATACTTTGCTTCTCTAGAGCTACCCTTATTTTTGGGTTGGTTGCTCAATTCTCTGTTTATAATGCAACTTTTCAGTAGGATAAATACATCAGATAAGTCTTTTGTCAAGAAAAGAAAACAAAGATTGAATAAATTATTCTCTGGAAAAGTTATTAACTTTGATTCCCTATAAAAAGCCTAATGAAATCTCTGAATGTTCTGGCATTTTTAACTTTAAAAATCCACAGAAAAACTAAATACAAACCTGTGACTCCTCTAAATTATCATCGTACCTTAAGGTTTTGTTCCCATAACATCCCAGGTCTCCAATACCGAGATCATCAGCCATCAGTAAAATGATATTGGGATTTGAAACACTCTGCATTTTGACACTATTTATGGCACACTGACAAATCATTAGAAGTAAAAGGGGTCCCATCTTCTTCCTGGTGTGTAAGAAGAGGTGGAAAATATAATAGACACCTTTAAGAAAAATTTACTTTTAATCTAATTTAGTCCTATTATTGGTCTTGTATAGCAAAAGATAAAAAGAAAGTTAGATTGCATTTTTTTAGTTGGGGCGTTTTTTCTCCCCTTGGGGTTTTCTTTAACATTTTCTATTTCATACTTCTTAAAATAAAAATGCATCTTTTAGTACATAGATCATTTTCCCTCTACCTCTTTTCAGAGATGAAGCCTTTAAATGAAGACAAATAAAGAACTAGCTACAACCTCAGTGACAATCTTGCATACACAGATGCACTACACAACAATAAATCATAAGAGCAAGCAAGGCTTTTTTTGTCGTTTTTGAGGGGATGTTTCTAGGTCCAAATGTGATTTGAGGAATACAGAACCTTAAATCATTTAGGACCAAAATTCCCAAGGTTCATTGCAGGAAAAAAGTTAATCAATTCTGCTACTGAAGTAAATGACTGAATTTCTCTTCAACAATGGGGGAAAAAATCCAGCTTCAGTTTCTTGAAAGGAATAAATATTATTGAAAGGAGAGTGAAGAGAAGCATTATGAAATTATTGTAAGAATGTTTAAGAAATAGCTCTTTACGAACATTTTAAATATTAGGGTCTATAGCAAAATCATGTGAAAATATTTGATATCATATCACAGTGTTCTATAAACAATGACCATGCTGTACCCAACCTAAAAGGGGAAGAAGAATGTATTGTACACAATACAACATACCATTATACGCTTTTATGATACAAGCAGAGTATTTGCAGATGTGCATGCTATGAATGCCATTTTACCTAAGGAGGGACTTGCCATATCTCTGTTTTAAACTGCATTTAATATGATTGACTATGCCCTGTCTGAAACTGAGTGCCTGTAGGCTATAATGGACCATGCCAGGTATACATATCAAAAAGAACAAACTCCATTTCTCTCTCTCTTTTGTGTCTACCAATACTCCCATCTTTTCTGGATGCAGGCAGCCTTTTTCAAATGCAGATGAGGCATGAGTCACCCTGTACTCTGGATTATGCTGGGAAAAGAAATAAAGTGGAAGAAACTAGGACTGAGGTAGAATTTTGAAAGTGAAAGAGTAGAAAAAGAAACTAGAAACAAGAATTTCCAGAGAGAATGGGGACAGCAGGTCAAGAAAGAAAAGCCTTGTAAATCAATGAGTTATGGTAGATAAAAGTAACTGGAGAGAAGATAAAGAAGCCAGAACTGAAAGAGCTAGTACAAAAAGACTAGACATCAAGGGAGACAGATTCGTAAATCAGTGAGGTGGGTTAAAAGTATGTGTAGAGAAGACAAAGTAGTCCGAACTAGAAGAGCTTACACTGACTTGAATAGCAAGAATGGAAGTTGAGACCCAGTTGAAATGAGAATTGCAGGCTGAAATAAAGAGAAATGGGAGAAGAATAAAGAAACTGAAATGAATAGTATCACACTGAATAGAAAAACAAAACTGAGGGAAAGAGGTGAGAGAACTGGGAGCGTCTGGGATGAAAGATCTGAGGAGTTATGATTAAGGTCAATGAAGACAACTGATTGGAAAGAGCTTGGGAAGATAAGACTTGGGACTAACATAAGTGAGAAAAGATAAAATAATGGGGATCAACCAACACAGACTGGGACTTCTGATTCCCAACCTTCATTATTGGCATTCTGTCAGAAAGCATAGGTGCAAAGAGGATTTTAACTCTTTTAGTGCCTCTTCACATACAGATAAAACAGTAGTGAGTATATTAGCTAATTTTTTTACTGCTTAAGGTACACTTTATCACTCATTCATCTCAGTTTGGTGAGAACAGTTCTGGTTTAGACTTCATTTGGCAACATCTTGTCACTGTAGCAACAGATCATTACCTGATTTATCCCATGGGAAGCAATCTACTTCATTTCAGACATGGAAATACATACACAAACTTTGATACTAAAACACTAAAAGCATTTTTGTTGGGCAGGATGCATCTAACTACCCCTTCATCAAATAACCATAGTAATGAAGCTGTGTAATACCTGCCATGTCACAGACTTTTAATCTGCACTGTAGATGCACTTTTCTTTCCTGAAAGGATACACAAGAGTGATTTGCTTCTCAGGCTTTGCAAGAGAACAACTAAAACCTTGATCCAATAGGACAGGAACAACCTACCGCTAGATCTTATGTTCCTACTCCACTGTTCAGACTGCAAAGGTCTCAAAGGCCAGTGGCAATGGGGATGTTGAAAAAAGGGACACACATATGCTGGTGACATTATATATAGAGTTGCAAGGATGCTCGCAGGACCTGCAGAAGGTAGCATCATTTATGATCTCCATTTATTATTTTGCAAATCAGCCAAAAATAACGTTATTAGAAGTTCTCTCTGATACTCCTCCATTCTGAAGATGCTGTAAACTCTCACTCACTAAGCTACTTGCCTTCACCTGATATCATGTCCCTGAAGTGAAATCAACAAGGAAACAGGAAAAAGAAAATAATCCTAACAACTATGATTTCTCTGGTGTACTTTCTCTGCAGCAGATATTCATGTGTCTTAAAAGGATGTGCAGGGAAAGCAAGAAAAATCAGATGGATGAAATTGAGTGGAACAGACAACAGCAACGAAACTCAAAGGAGCAAAAAGGGAATGACATGAGAAGAATGAAGCTCTGAGAACGCTGAAGGCCCTCTGTGTCACACCAGGGTTTGTACTGGTGAAGAGACAAGCATGTGCAGACCTAACATGAAAATGATGACACCAAATCAGATGAAGCTTCCACTTAACCTTGTGTTTCCTCTCTGTCCACAGACAAATCAAATGCTTAAGGAAAGAATGCAAAAAACTTGGCAAATTAATTATTTTACTAGCACACTCTTCTAGCTCTTGGCATTTACCGTTAAAGATATTTTCGACAGGAGAGCATTGTACTGTATATCTCTCCATGGATCTTTTAATCTTCATGGATTTGCTATAGTCTATTTTGAATCAATTAACTTTTGGTTTGGTTTTTTGCATTAAATGAATTTGATTTTCTTTTTTTTCCAGTTCCACAACAGTCTTTAGATGTTCCTGTAGGAGGCATCAGCTTTGAAGGCTTGTGCTTTACATTCAAGTGGCAACATTTTTCCCTTTTTTTTTTTTTTTTTTGCATGGAGGACACATAAGTGTAATTTTTAACCTCTGCTTCACCTCCCCTGTGATATAACAGAACTAAAAGTAGCATCTTTCTTTTCAAGTTGGCTGCTAAGCCAAATTGATTTAAGAGGTGCTTAATCTCCTACAACAAGACCTATATAAAAATTTGTATTTCACACACCCTATTTCAACCTACAATACTTAAAGCACTGTATATATGTAACTTCATATACAGATGTGAATACATACATACACAGATGTGTCAATATGCACATATATACATATATGTGGTGGAAAACACACACATCTTACTTTTTCTATATATCTTCAAATTACGTTTTTGTGATTCTAATACATATTTTCTATTCGTATTAAAAACCAAAGTATAAATGTATAAGAGTAAATGGATAAAAATAAAACCACAGATATAATCCACTATTTCTTGATATTTGTTTGGTTGGGACTTTTTTCCTCATCAGGATAACTGATTCAAGACATGGCTATCATATAGTCATAAAATATTCTGAGTTGGAAGGGACCCACTAGGATCACCCAAGTCCAACTCCTGCCCCTGCACAGGACAGTCCCAAGAATCACACCCTGTACCTGAGAGTATCTTCCAAACACTTCTTGAACTCTCTCAGGGTTGGTGCTGTGACCACTTCTCAAGGAGCCTTTTCCAGTGTCAAACCACCCTCTGGGTGAAGAATCTTTTTCAAATATCCAACCTAAACCTCCACTGACACAATTTCAGGCCATTCCCTCGGGTCCTGTCACTGGTCACCACAGAGAAGAGATCAGTGCCTCCTATTCCCCTCACTAGGAAGTTGTAACTGCGATGAGGTCTCCCCTTAGTCTCCTCTTCTCCAGGCTGAACAGACCAAATGACCTCAGCTGCTCCCCATACAGCTTCTCCTCAAGGCCCTTCACCATCTCTGTTGCCCTTCTCTGGACATTCTCTAATGGCTTAAAATCTTTCTTATATCATGGTACCCAAACCTGTACACAATATTCAAGGTGAGGCCACACCAGTGCAGAGCAGAGTCGGGACAATCCCCCTCCTCGACCTGCTGGCAATGCTTTGCCTGATGCCCCCCAGGACACGGTTGGCCCTCCTGTCTGCCAGGGCGCTGCTGACTCATACTCAACTTGCCATCAATGAGGACTCCCAGATCACTTTCCACAGCACTGTTCTCCAGCCTCTTGTTTCCTAGTCTATACACACAACCAGGGCTACCCCATCCCAGGTACAGAATCTGGCACTTATCCTTATTAAATATCATACAACTGGTGATTGCCCATCTCTAGTTTTTCTAAGTCTCTCTGCAGGGCCTCTCTGCCCTTGAGGGAGTCAACAGCTCCAGTCACTTTAGCATCGTTAGTAAACTTACTTGGTATACTTTCCAGTGCTGCACTGTTTATGAAGATGTTGAAGAGTACACGGCCTAAGATGGAGCCTTGTGGAATCCCACTACTGACAGATCACCAGTCTGATGTTACCCCATTTACTATAGCGCTTTGCACCTGATCCATCAGCAAATCGCTCACCCGTTGCATGACATGACCCAATAGGACAGGAATAGCTCTATGTTAGATAATCCTTATCCCGATGACTATAGGTAAATGAATCTCTTTCAAGAACAACTATATGAAACTCTTTCAAACATCTCTTCCCAGCTGAATCATCTCAGCATTTTTATTAAGTTTGATTAAGCAATTTATCTCTAAAATACTCTTTTAATGTTACAGAACCCTTTGAGAAAATGCTTAATATACTTTATCCTTGAAGGTATAGTATTTTCTGATGAAATAAGCAACATTTAAAGATACTGACCTCATTAAAAAATGCTGT